GAGTTACAACATCCTTGATTCGTTTAACTTCTAATACTGGTTAATCACCCTTATACACTCTTGTATCACTTAAGACCAATAGGATTGACTTCTTATCATCTCAAAGATAATTCCTTCTTGGATTTATGTTAACTAATATATGGCATGAACTAACACATATGGATATGGGTTGTAACAATGCATTAATCAACCATATGTCTACTCGTGGAGTGCGAAAGGTGATAACAAACAATATCAGGGGAAATGAAATATGTGGCCAACTATGGGGGACAGAGACCAGGTGGTCAGAATTGGGGTCAGTAGAATCAACAATATAGACCAGCTCCGTAGCAGTACAATAACAACAACAATCTTGGGGCTATGCGACCATAGGGACAAGTGGTGCCTTACCAAAGGCAACAGGGTTACAACCAGCAAAATCAGCAGCAGGTTTATCAACAACCTCAACAATAACAGATTGTGAGACACGAAGATGAGTTTGCTTAACTTGAGGGAATGATGCAACAAGTGATTGGGTCCACTGGAAAACTAACTGACAGAGTTGACTCACATGAATCAACGATAAAAAATATTGAGATCCAATTAGGCCAGATTTCGATGGCCTTAAATAATCGTCCCCACGGGACGTAACCTACAGACACACAAATCAATCCAAAAGAGTAGGGCCCGAAGTAGCTTATGGCAGTGAGTCTCCGAAATGGTAGAGATCTAGATCTGGAATAAGAAATTGCTCATGAAAGCAGACCGACTGAGACACTGGTGCCAGTACCTATTGAGATAGATGATTCAACAAGGTTAATTGAGGTAACGGTACAACATGCACAAGAGAATGCTAACAAAGAAAAAGAGGTTGTGAAAGAGACTGAGGTTGCACTGGAACTGATAGTAGAAGCAGCGCCTGAACAAGAAAAAATCAAATCATATGGAAGAAGCGACCTCCAGCACCATTCCCACAGAGATTGGCCAAGTATCAGAAAGATGAGCAGTACAAGAAATTCTTGGAGATGTTGAAGCAAATTCAGGTAAAAATTCCATTTATTGATGCTTTAAAGGAGATGCCTGGTTATGCAAAAATGATGAAGGACTTGATGTCCCGCAAGTTCGACTTTCAAGACTTGGCCACGGTTACACTGACTCAGACCTGCAGTGCTATTGTGACGAGACCTAGAGCGGAAAAGTTGTCTAACCTAGGGAGTTTCACAATCCCATGCACGATAGGCAACTATGCATTTGCTAAGGCACTGTGTGATCTGGGTGCAAGCATAAACCTCATTCCCCTAGCTATCTACAAAAGGCTAGGCATTGGGAGAGCTAGACCCACATCTATGTTACTACAACTAGCTGACCGGACAGTGAAGAGGCCATCTGGTATTCTTGATGATGTATTAGTACATGTTGGGAAGTTTGTGTTCCTAGTAGATTTTGTTATTCTAGACTGTCGGGTTGACGAGAAAATTTCCATAGTTTTGGGAAGACCATTCTTGGCCACTGGGAGAACTTTAATTGATTGTGAAACTGGAGAGCTCAAAATGAGATTAAACGATGAAGAGATAACATTCAACGTGAAGAAATCTATGTGGAGACCAAGTGAATTTGCTAATTGCTCTCTAATAGATACGATGAATATGGTTTTGGAGGAGGAAGATGAGGCATTGAACGCTAAAGACCCTCTAGCAGCCTATCTCATGAACTTAGATGAAGCTAATGGTGAAGACTTGGCAGAGTGGGTAATTGCTCTTGAAGGCCAAGGTTTTTGGAGAAGGGAGCTCGAATTTGAGCCTTTGTAGTTAGAGGAAAGAAAAACTCCTCCAGCTAAGCCATCGATAGAAGAGCCACCAAAGTTGGAACTGAAGCCACTACCATCTCATCTCAGGTATGCATTCTTAGGACCTAACTCACCTTTACCTGTTATTATCTCATCTAGTTTGTTAGATGTGTAGGCAGAACAGCTTTTGCAGGTACTGATTGAGTGCAAGACTGCAATTGGGTGGACCTGTAATGACCCGGAAAATTTTGCTAACTAATTTAGGATTTCATGATACCAGGTAGGCTAATTATAATATTTTATGTGCTATTAACATGATGGACATCAATTAGATTGGGTAAATAAGTGTTCACGTATTATGGTAAGTAATTTAGGGTCCAAGGAAGGGTCTAAGTCTAAGTCAAATTGGAAAATTTTGTAATAGGCTAAGATTCCAAATGAGTTCGCACAAGTCCCTATTTTGGACGAGCATATCTATATTTATATAAGGTTTTCTATGATGAACCTATAAAATGAAAGGTCTTCGAGTCTAGTTTTCGACGCTTCAAACCGTTCGTCATTTGGACATCCCTACACAAAGTTATGATCAAATTACCAAAGGCTGGAAAAATGCGATCCTGTGTCGAATCTGCGATCGCAAATATGTCGCATTTTTGACTATGCGTTCGCAGATCTGTCGCAGATTAGGCCAATGTTGCCCATTTTTGGTCACCTATTTTGTGATTCATTCTGCGGCCCACATTCTTATTTTGCGGTCCATTCTGCGATCGCAGACCCGATTTTGGAGGCTTATTTTTCCTATTTTTATAACCCAACCCCATTTCAATATATAGTCTTTGGGGCTTCATTTGGGGTCATTTTCTACTGATTTTAGAGAGAGTTGAGAGCATATAGAGAGAGAAAGATAGAGAAGGAGCCTAGCTTCATAATCACCCATCTCTTGCTTAAGTCTTCAAGAATCAAAGAACCCAATCACATGTCCTTCATCTAGGAGGTAAGGTTCTATACATTAGACTTTAATTTCGAGTTTGGGGTATAAGATGGGTTTTCGAGGTATGATTCTTGGCTGTAATAGTATTATGTATACATGCATGTATAAATTAGTTTTGTGAGAAGAATGTTGAACACGAATAAGTAAAGATTAGGTTGGGTAATGAAGGAAATCTTGTAAATGAGCCTTGAAATCAAGATGCACAACTACTGTTAGATAAAATGCTCAAATGAGCCGAAACCATGAATATCTTCCTAATTTGTGTTCAATTTTGTTATGTCTCGAAGTAGATT